ACCGTATAGCCCGAGAACTGTTCTATTTGTGTCATGCTAGTCCTTTCCAAAACTTTGGAATAAAATTTTTAAAAATTATCCCAACTTTGAGCAGATAAAAACGACGAGTGAAGATTTTTGGCAATTATCAAAAAAAAAACCATACAGGATCTTGGCTCCTAAATGTAACCATAAGAAAGAGAAGGAAAAGCTGCATCCAATGCACGTTGAAACTCATTCAGGTCTTCATTGTGCTGGTTTTATAGTGGTTTGAAAATACCGACAAAACTTTCGGGACAACCTAATATAAGATATTAGGTTGTCCCGAAAGTATATAAGTCATAAGAACACCAGCAAGAAAGTTTTTTCCTACGAGTTTCTTTTACTGTCGTAACTCCACAAAAGAGACACAAATTCAACACTTAGTCTATGCCATCTACTAGGGGAAAGAGATAGCAATTACTGTATCGCAATTTTACTTTACCGATTTTTTTTTGATTTATTTATGGCTGCGTGAGAAAAGATTTCTGACATTCACATCAAATTCTACCATAAATTTTTCACTAGCCCATTAGGCGTCATGGTTCAAAAACAGAGCTCTTTTGCTTGGTTCTGACTAAGTAAAATGAATACCAGGTCTCCTACAATAAGATAAGCTGGTCATACAAAGAATGCAAGCTAACTTACTGAGTCTTACGTTACAATATATTTTGTCGTAAAAGTCAGCCCATAAATTTTGACTTAAGATTCCTAGTTGACACAAAACTCGTAAATCTGTTGTCTTTCCAAGCATTATGTAGTACAGCTCATTGCCATAGTTTCGATGTGTGTTATCAATGTGGCGTCAATACTATAACATTTGCAAAAAAAAACCCATTGTATCGAAGCCTTGAACCGATATATCTTAACAAATCTGATCCATTGCTTTTTCTGCAACCGCCCAATCTTGCTGCTTTGCATTCGACATGGCTAAGAAATTTCGGAAACGTGAGAAATAGAAGCACCATAAAGCAAAGATGGTCTCGGAGATAAAACAGGATATGTGTGATGGATAGGTGCAACATTTGAGGTTTGTCAATGAAATAGCAGCCTTTTTGCTTCTGGCAAACCTGCTGACATTTCCAATTCTACAAAATCGATTACAGGGAAAAAAACCATATGCGAGCTTTGTGAATAGAAAAAACGCAAACAAACAATGGTCAGCGAGCAGCATTGTGCCAGGCGTTGCCTGGCTATTGATAACGCAATGGCTGCTTATCACGAAACGGAACCAGAAATACTGGAAATGGAAACCTATAAAATATAGGTGGTCTATTTTGGTCTCTTGGCATATGTGTATGTCTACTGTGTTTCTCCACTTTTTCAGCTGGGCACTGGATCTCTCTAATCGTATTTCGCAGCATTGCGAAAGCAGCCTTTGTAAAACATTTGAATATAGAGGCGGTGCTTTACTATAGCTCTTTTAGTTTTTAACACGAACTCTTAATCAATTTTTTGGTAAGCCCGGTAGAAATTTTCTGATTTTTCTTCCTCCATACTCTTTTCTTGCACACTAGAAGTTCGTTTTCAGTCATTTCATAGCTTCCTTTCAAAACGTAATATCAACATACTTAGCTTACCATTTTCTAGAGCCCAGAATGCTCTATTGAAAGTTAGAGATTTCGTCGAGTTTACAGATAAACCTTGTCATAGGTAAGCGATTTTTTAACAATGTTTTCAACGCAGCAGATAATCAGATTAGCAGCTTTATGAGTAAACGCATCTAGTTTAGTTCGTGGCACAAATTGTGAGCTACATACAATGAGACAGATTTTGAAACATCGGCTGCTAAGTAAGCTTGGCTAAAATGGCGTTTATGAACACAAATAAGGTAAAGCCTAAGCGCACTTCTGCGTAATTTTCTTCTTCTTCAAAGCTGATAAGGTGGTATACGTTTTGAAGTCTTGAAGTGCTGGTGTAAGAATCAATCTAAGAATAATAGCTAGTCAGACTTTATCCAATTTTCCTGCAAACATGCTAAACACGAAATTTTTCTAGTATGCGGTAAGAAGTGTATGAAGTGCTGGTCAATAACATGTGTTCTGCTTGCTTATTTAAGGATTTCAAGGATCATCAGCACTGCCTCGTTATTTGTAATGAACTGTGTAGATTTATCCAATTTTTCTGTCAAGAACAATGCCGGCAACATGGAATCCACTTACGGTGCATCATGCGCGATCGGCAATCTAGTAGTTCCAGCCTTCTGCATTGGCTTGTATAACCGCATCACAAGCGAATGTGCGATTTAGTCAGAAGCTCAAAAAGAAGATCTGCCAGTGCCGCAAGCGGCCTCAGTAACTCGCGCGAAGAACTTGAAACGCAACTCGAAGAACAAGAGATCTCCCATATAAAGTATACTCAGATACTTAGATGGCCCGTCTTCACGTGGCGTGCGGACCCCAGCTCAAAAGTTGCGATTTGTCCCTGCACCTCGCTTCAAACATCCACGATCTTCTTGGCCGTCGTCGGTGGCTGCGTCCACGAGTTCCAGGGGCAAAGGTCGTATCCAGCTGATTTCTCAGCTGGTCCATCCGTTCCACGGACACGTCTGCCCATCTCGTTGGTGGTCTTCCTCGGGGACGTTTGGCTTCGCGAGGAATCCACTCAGATGTTCTTAGTGTCCATCTGTCGTTGTTCTTCTCATGATGTGACCGGCCCATCGGTGTTTCGCTTTCGCAACGTATTTCGCTGGATCACGAAGACGGGACATTCTTCTCATATCCGTACTGCGGAATCCGACTAGATGTTGCTTGTGTCGGGTCATCTTCGGAAGACTGCGCTCGAGCGCGCTGTGGGTGGTCCGTAAGGCTTTCGACATGGCTGTGTCAGCCCAAGTCTCAGCTGCGTAGCAGAGCGCCGGGAGAACGGTTGAGTCGAACAGGTGGGCACGAAGCTCCGGGTCCGTCGGTTGGTCGGTGGCTTCCTTCAGAGAGCCCGAAGGCGGCCCAGGCTGCTCTTCTTCTCCTGTTAAGTTCTTCCCTCAAGTCGTTCTCCATGTTCATCGAACGTGCAGCGAGATACACGTAAGAAGAGTCTCCATAATAGGGGTGCTTTCCATTTCCATTTCTGCATCTTCGCAAAGGGCGTTCTTCATGAACTGAGTCTTCTTCCGATTTATTCGCAATCCGATCTTCTTCCCTACTTCGTTTAGTTCCTTCAGCATCGTCTCTGCTTGTGATACTGCTCGAGAAGAAAACGATGTCGTCCGCAAAACGAAGGTTAGACAGGAATCTCCTATCAACTCGTATGCCTCTCTCGTCCCAGTCCAGTGACTTCATCACCCACTGCAAGGCCGCGGTGAACAGCTTCGGCGAAATAGTATCACCTTGTCGAACCCCGTTCCCGATTGGAATGGTCAGGGGACGATGGAACATCTGCATCGTTGTACAGTCCTTGTAGCAGTCGGCTAGTGTCCTCACGTAGGCTGGATCCACTCCTTGATCGACCAGCGCTGACAGGATGGCGTTGGTTTCGACGCTGTCGAAGCCACATAAAGTATGGTGTTGAGAAGTGAACCAGACGTCAAATTTCAAGCCACTGGTAACCAATGCCATCTGAAGCAGCCGAAGAAAGCAGAAGTAGAAGTGTCATAGTGCCTCTGTGACTGTTACTTACGGCAGCACTACTTGACCAAAAGGGGCTCCGACCTCTTTCCGATATAAAATGAAATTGCGAAAAACATCCTCCGCTTATAACTTCCACGACAACGCACGTTATCCCACTGAAGAAGTACCATCAATCTGCTAAACCCATGGCTCCAGGGTCAGTTCCTTTCTGTCACTTTCTACACGAGATACATGCGCGCATCCAACATCTTACCTTCAGAAAAAATGATCGCGTCCAGTGGAGAACCTCAACCGTTCTTGTTCGAGAAAGGGAGGATTTTTGGAGCTACTGCTCTTACTCTTACAAATATCCTTCTCTTCGTTACGATTGTTCCAGTGGAAGTTACATTGAACGCTTGTTTCTGTTCCTTCATTCCACTCAACTCCCTTGCTGAAAAGCAATTGAGAAGAATACTTTGAGGGAATTTATTGGACACAGGTATGCATATGATTAGAGGGCAGGCATCTGCAGACTAGCTAAGGTTATAAAATCGTAGCGACGGATTTGACTGCATCTTCGCGCCCACAGGAGCGTGTCACCCTCATACAGAAAGGCATCACCTCAAAGCTCAATCAGTCACTTCAATGTCCGAGTACTATCATACCTAACAAGGGAAGGATACCAACATTAGTCGGCGATTGAAGATGAGATGTATATCGATAGACGCGCCTTTGAACGCTGATTCCAAATCTGCTTTCATTTTTTGCGGAATAAGTTTCTAAAAGAAGTTGTGAGCGTTTGAATGTTCAAATTTGTCAAGGTTTGGATGGCCTAAAATTGTTGAATGATGTACAAAAACACCGCTACTGGAAAGTCAGTTTTATGTCGAGTATATTGTTTGCAAGGAATGAGCAAAGCCAGTGGAAATTGCATAAGTGTTGTTTTAGAGCTTTTCGCTGATTTTAAGCCACTCCTTGGCATATTTGAGCATTCAAATGCCTATAACTTCTTCCGGAAATCTATTCCGCAAAAAAGAAAAGCAGAATTAGAGTTAGCGTTCAAATTCGCGTTTACTGATGTATATTTCATCATTAATCGCCGACTAATGTTGGTATCCTTCCCTTGTAAGCAGAAAATAGTCGAGTAGGGATTATGTGCCGCGCGAGGTCCCGCCATCGTCGCAATTTTTCGAATGCCCTATAACAAAGAAAAACATGCATGTAATATGAGAATAAAATGAACAATGCAGATGCGCTCCCTCAATTTTCGCGTTTCCTGTCTTCTTGGATCTTATAATTCAATACTGTTTTTTGTTGTTCGGATGTAGTGTGCGTTTTTCTTACTTTCGAAGATGTAATCACATTTCATATAGCCAAACGATTATAGATTAAATTTATTGAAGCAAACCAACAAAGGCTTTCACTAAAAAAATACATGGCACCATAGAGTCAACAAAACAAGCCAACGTCAGAAAGAAATTGCTTGAATATTGGAAGAGAATCAGATTTGAGCAATGTGGTGGTCTTTGGAGGAAGTGAAAGTTGGATGAGGACGGTAGTTCAGACATTGGGCGTGCGATCGTCATGGTCCCTGCTGCTGTGACGGCTGTTGTGTCGACTTTCGGTTACGGTCGAGCTGCTGTAAGCAACCGACGGTTTCATCTCTTTGGAGCTCGAATGCGAGAGAGAGTTCAGCCGGGACGAGATCGACCGTCGCAAACGATTGTAGAGCGGAGCGCACATGCGCAAGGCGACCTGAACAACAGCTTGCTAAAAAACCCCTATTTAGGTTGATGCAAAAACAATGGCCGTTTTTCCAAGCCTTTCCCAGGAAAACTTCCTTCCCTTGTCATGTCTTTCGAAACGAATGCAGAATACCATCGAGAATCTCTTTTCATGCTTCATCTAATGATGGTTGGAGCAAGCTTATATTTTCTTCTGTTGGGAAACTTACAGAGCTTCAAATAACCGCAATCAAAATTAGAATTTCGTTGCATTCACTTTTCTGGCCTGAATTCGAGCGCGAACAAGAGCGCTTCCCCGAAAATTTAGCTACTTTATGTATAAATTGTTTGCATACATTGCGCACTCAAATATTTAGTTTGAAATTACTAAAATGAGATATAGGCGTCTCAACATGGGTAACAGTTGCGGTCATTCTATTACCTATAAATTTCGTATGAAAAAGCCAATCGCTAAAGCTTTGCTGTTCTATAAGCGTAAAGGTAGGCCATCCAGGTGGTTTTGTAAAGTTTAGTCGTTCAGTCCTCAAAATTCGGAAAGTTCTATAAATCGGGACTTAGGCCCACGAAAATTGTTGAGCACGACCTTCAGATTTTGATTTTTTCATTTTCTCAAATCTTCTTTGCCCATGCCCTTTTCATCTTCTTTTGCACTACTTGCTTGCAATTACAAAATAGGCAAAATATCATTTACATTAGCAAACTTTGAAGGGAGAGTTATGAATTGTCGAAAACAAGGTTCTGGAAAAACGTCTTTTGTTTTCAATCCATATTTTTTCGGTGCACCTTGCACAAATAAAAATAGCTGTGTAAGAGCCGTAAAATTCAAAAAAGTGTTCTCGCTAGTTTTTCCACGCGAATATTGCTAGCGAAGGGAGCGCACTACGTCAATCGTCAAGGCAACATCAAAACATTAAAAAAAATTTTTTGCTCCAAGATCAAATGAGCTTCACTATTATTTGGGTGGCATTTCAATCATAAACTATGCTAAAATCAAAATTGGTGATCGTACACTTATACCGTAGAACGGCAGAATTTTTTGATCTTTATGGAGAAAAGAATTTCATTCTGACAAATGGTTTTCATGAATAGTATTGATATGAACATGGTACGGCAGTTTTTATAATTAGAAGTTTGTCCTCATCAAACTTTCGTAAAATGCAAGAATCTTAGTTTTGGCTATTCCAGGCACCACTTTAATAGACTTCATTCCATTTATAGCAAACAAAATCGTAACTCAACGTCCGCTTGCCAGGAAATGAATTTTGATCTTGCTTTGTAGATGTTTTGCCATAACACGAAAGCATCTAAATCTTGAGATCAAGTGGAGCAACTTTGCCTTCCTCTTGGGAACTTTCAAGTCTGGGTGCAAAAGATTCCCAAATTGCGCAGACGTGCAAGCCCCCAGCTAAACGGAAGCACGGCTTGCGATAGAAAAGCGTTTCGAGTAGATCATATTTCGAAGCAAATTCTTAGCGGGGTTTCCTTTTTGTATTTTGTTTTCATTTCGATTACCTTGTAAAGATAGCATTGTGAAAATCTAAAAATGAAGGATCAAAAATCTAACTTCAATAAAAGAAAACTGCGATAAACCTGTATTCAATTAATCAGCTAATAGATGCATATCTGAATCAACTTTGCAAGCTTTTTTCTGTAAGTTACCTCGTAGCTGGGTGGTGGCTCGTCAGGTGGGTCAAGAAGAGGTGTTCTGTCGCTCAAGGGGCTGCTACCTATAGGATGGTATCCATTGGACCATGCAGACAAGCCCCCTATTGACAATGAGCGAGGGGGACCATTCCGCGACGATCGCAGAGGAATGGGCCGCGAACTTCGAGGCACTGATTCCCTAAAAAGTGAGTAATAACCCATCAAAGCAGACCATAGAAGTCCCCACCTCCTCATGGCTTGCAAAAAATTCATGCTTCTACTGCCTCTCATCAATGGTCGTGGAGGGCGAATGGCGGGTAAATGGCCCAAATCATCGTCAAGTGCGCCGTAATTTCGCAAAACGACCTGCTCATTGTTTACTGGCACTGGTCGTGAGTAAATACGGGCTTCCGAAGGGTCCACGAGGGTCTGAAATATTGCATTTGTTCGAAGGTGGCCTCTCATAAGGTATTTCGCTTACCACAGTAGCATGAGGCATCAACATCGCTTCGGAATAGGATGGGACCACGAAATATTGCTCTCTTCCCAATGCTGCCTCCAGCTCCACCGTTTCCATCGTTGAGGTCCTTGTGAGAGGGCCAGTATAATTTACTGATGATGGACTGAAAGAAAATTGCAGTTTTGCCTTTTCTCAATTAGAACACTTTGATACCAAGGTTCTAAGCCGGTCTACTTTCAATCTGATTCCTCCCCCCCCCCCCCTCCCCCTTCCCAAAACTTTTGAAGCTACACTACGAATCGCCGTTCCCAATGGAACCAGCAGCGTGTGAGATGACTGATGAGAAACCACTATCTGAACAGCGCTTCACAACAAAAACACCGTTTGCTGCTGCTATAGCTGAGACGAAAAGAAATTGGGCAGGATTTCATAGGTTTCTTAAAGAATTCCACATGTCACAGAAGAAAGGGGTTTGCATTCAGACAAATTCACTGCAAGTAAGCCTAGACAAATCAAATTGCGAAATTTTACCTTAAATAGCAGGTTCCAAAGAGCTTAGTGACTTGGTAGTTCAGCATGGCTGTTCTGCATTCGGCGTAGATTCGTAGAGGCCATGAAAGAAGTAATACAGAGAATACCCTAAAAATAATCGGTTCGGTTGATTTGGTCTCGAGGCATTCTTTCCCAGCAGTGAAGCACTCAGCTATATACTGTGCTTGTTGCTCGCAGTGCTTGTTGGCGATGTTGCTTTGATTTCAATTATTCCTTGTAAGATATCATATATTCAAGGTGTTTATTCGATACGGCTCGATTTAAAAAAAAACAGATTTGATGCATTATTAAAACACGATCAGGCAATCTAGACAAAAAACATTTGCGGTAAAAAGAGGCCAAATTCTTCTCACAACCTCAGTTCTTCAGTTTCACTCGGATAAAAACAAAAGCGACTCATCATTGTTCATTGACAACTTGGCTCAGTAGCGCTCAAAACTTATCGGTTGCTTAAAGTCATATAATGTTGAGTTTGCTTCGCTCAGAGTATATTTTTGAGCACATATCAAAAAGCACTGTCTCCCCTGTTTATGACTTGCTTTTAGCTCCCATTTCTCGTAAATGACAGAGTTTGTGGGGATCCCTACTTCGGATTGGCTCGCTAAGCACTTCATCTTCGAGAGAGATAGCCGCTGGGTACTTGCCAGGAATTTATGGTTTTAAATTGTTCCGAGCAACAGCTCAGCATGTACAAGCGTTCCAGATTGAAAAGCGGTTTTGAGAGATTTTTTTTTTCGGGACACTTTTCTAAATTTCTTGAACACGTGTAATTCTATTAATAGTTATGTTGTAGGTCTCCAATACTTTTTAGGATGATATTTCAAAATAGCTTCAACATACCAAAATACGAGCGCTAGAATACGAATCATTGAATTCGTTGTTAAAAATAACTGATAAGCACTGACCAGAACACTGATGCTCGAAGAAACCAAGGAGGTGATCCGCGAAAAACGAGCATATCCTCCAAAAGGCACACGTCGGTTAAATCCATTCCTTCTCGCACCTAGAATGTTTTTAGGTTGTAAAGCTATTGCTTATTTGACTTATTTCCAGCGAGGAATAGCGAGGAACAATTATCACGTAGAATAGTTACTAGCCGTTTGATACAAATCATTTTTCTCTATTAAATGTGCAAGTGTCTTTTTTAGCGCGCAAAAGTTAAAATTTGAAAAAATATACCTAAAAGTATGCATTGCTGAGGTATAGAAAGAAATTATAGCGTGATCTACATGATAAAGACCTTTCGACGATAAATACTTTATTAGGTTGCTGCATAACTTCTGTCCGATTTGAATTTTTTGAGTTCAAAATGTCATAACTTCTTTCAAAGTCAACTTTTTCCCAAGATCTTAGCTTCTATGTGTTGAGCCGTTCCTTCGCTATCAGATGCATATTCAGAACTGCGCAAATCCTTGTTAAGGAAGAAGCAAGAATGCGAAAACTTCACAGCATTTTTCTTCAAACCTGTCTTTTTTGACATGGCAACGCTCCCTTATGAGAATGGATAAACATCTTATTCAAAGACGGATAAATAGAGAAATTTCCGTAGATTATCATGCAGCATGAAAGAGCCCATAAGGTGCGCGCTGCCAAGAGATTTTTTTTTACCGAGCAAAAAAAAAGCCACTTTTTGACCTCGCTTCAGCACATGTGTGCATGCCTGTATACGAATTATGAAGATTTCAGAACTGACGTGAGCGCCGAAAAGAAATTGGTGGATGGGCTCTGCTAGCTTAGAATATTTGTACAAAAAATTAATGTTCGACAATAAATTTTACCAGCAAGACGTTTTCTTCTGGAACCGAACTTCTGCATATACTAGCCTTCTACACCCTTATTCCGTAGCCAATAAAAGAACTTGACTCGAAGGGCGCACTGTGGAGATTTCCTCGCAAGAACATATTTTTAGGGTGATAACGTACCTCGCCCACTTACAGCTTTTAGGACTGAAATCTCCGTACACTAAGAAACTTAATGAAATTTGATATGCGTTAGAAAGAGCAAGAAAAGCACTTTCTAATTATATAACAACACTGCATTAGAGTTGAAATTCTCTTAGAACAGCTGCTTCAAACATAAGGCAAAAAATTCGGACAGAACTTATGCAGCAACCTAATATTATCCAATGTTCTGCTATCCATATTTTGTCGTCTTATGCTGCGTCCAAATTTCTTCCACTGACGGAGCGATATGAAGAATGTTCAATTCGATGTGATTTGATTTGATTTGTAGTCTTTGTAGCACTTTTTCTATGTACACATATGCGCATTGAAAATGAAGTTCTTTTCAAGGTCAGGTGAATCACCATTGGAGCACGTGGAAACACGCGATACCTTCAGAATTTGGTTTTCTCTAGCACAGGAATATGAACAGGAATGTTCGCAAAATCCAAGCTTTTTCGCATCTGCGGAAGTCCATATTACTTTTCTTGCATTGAAAATTTGATTTATGGGGGTGGAAGCCTGTTTCGTGTTTCGGAAGCTGACGTGAGCGGAAGCTGCATAATGCAGCACGCACACACAATCCGGCAATTGGATTTTCGCACCCAAAAAACTGTATGGAAATTGCATTAGCCATGCTGAGACAATTATCAAGAAAGTGCAAGACCTGGGCAAACATGCTTGCTTGTTGTAGTTTATGTCCTTTGAAAAAAGTAACTCTTCAACATTTGTAGCAAACAGAGTAAGTGAAAAAGGAGACAGTTTTTCACATGCATATTGTCGCTGGGATCGTTTCTATCATTTTTAGTTTCACTACAAGGACAAAATATATTGTCCGATAGTAGTTGTCAATTATATGAGATCACTAAGCCTTAAAGCATTCAGTTTATCTGAATCACTAGTGCAGAAAAAAAACGAAAGCGTTTTCTACCATTCCATTCTTCAGTCGAAAACAAAAGAATGTATTCCACTATCGATGCTTTTTTTGCAAATGTAAGATAGTTTATGCAAAATTGCAAGGATATCAAGATGTTCCAAAAATTGGTATGAGACATGATACTCCCAATTTCCGTTCATTTTTTTTTCTGAGCAAAGAGTCAAGGAAAGTGCTTGTGCATTACTTATGCTTACTGCCTATGCAGGCTTCGCATTATGCGTGCAGTTTAGAATGACTAAAAGGGAAGTATCGAAGACATCTCGTTTTTGGTTCTTGTTTGTAACTGGAAGCTAATTGTTGGTTTTGTTTCTGCTCGTCTGAGTAAGCAGTTGCTCGATAAAAAAATTAAGCTCCACTAGCACCCACAAATTTTGCTAACAATAAGGTCAGAGGCAATCAGCATATTTGCTGCACAAAATAGGGAGTAGATGTTAAGGCACGGATAGCGGTAATCATACCTTCGATACATAGAGCCACGTACTCTGGTAACCTTCACTTTGAGTGTCATGAGAGGACACAACCTTCACCTGGAGAGGAATACAGAACTCATCCGGGGCGAAGCCCGGATATTATGATATAACTAATGACTAACTATGTAAGGATGAATGTGAATGAGGCAAATATAGTAGTGACATCCAGAAAAAGCTCAAAAAACCGAAGGATCGCGTTTTTATGGCCTTTTTTTGCTGAAAAGAAGGTTTTTCTTCAAAAATTCAATTAGAAATTAGGATGAAACTTATCAATCAACCTTTCTGTAGACTGCGATTGAGCGTTGGAGGTTTATGAAAGCCGCTGGAATTCAATAAAAACGAGAAACTGCGCTGAAATCTTGCGCAGAGAGTCGCCACATAAATGCTGGTCTATCTCGTTATGGAGTGATTTTCAAGACCTGCGACGTTGTCAGTGCTCCTGGCCGTCTCATGAGGATCACAACGATATATGATATTATAGGGTTTTGTTATGACCCCGCGGAGATCAATGACCAGAGCCAAATGCCCCGCCGGCTCTGGTCTGTCTCCGCTGCTCGTCTGCGTCTCCGCGCGCTGCGCGCTACCTCGCTACCCCGAACGCGGGGCGCGGGGCATTTAGCTCTGGTACCCTTTTCTTCGCTGTTTCGAACCCAATTTCAGCAAGCTATATATCATTTTGAAGCTCTTGATCTCTATTTTCACGCTGACAACGTCGCAAGACTCCTTTTTATGATTTAAGCGAGAAATCCGGCAAAAACCTTGTTTTCGAAAATCTCTCGTTTTTCTCCTAGTTTGACTCTTTTCACGCAGTTTTTTTGTGTAGTCGATAGGTCTTGTTTCTGTCTATAATGTAGACAACGTCGCCGAGCTTATTTCTCTGCTTATGCCGGTTTTTTTGTGAAAATTACAAAAAAATGCGTTTTTCTTTACCTTATTCTTTTTCAGTGGTTTCGCAACGAATTTTCTCCAGCTTGGACGATACTTGCTCAGAATGATGAGCGGAAGAATCCAGACAACGTCGCAGGGTACAAGAGGGACGGCGCGAGGGTAAAAATTCAAAGGACGCATCAAAAATCAAAACCCCGTGTTGCGAATTGCTGGTCTTGAAGCGAAAACTTGCACTTTAAAAAACCGCCAAACGAAAGATTTCAAACCTTATTGCAGCATTTTATCTGGTTTTCAGCAGTTTCTCTTGCTTTTTATATCTATTTTACGTCATTTTTTCTTCTCTGATCTTCTTCAAACAACCTTCACTATTTATGACGTCAGATGTTCAAACAACCTTCACTTTTGGCGCCCTGTCTCTAGACTATCGAAGGTATGGCGGTAATCGTTATGGTTAGATGAGCTTTGAAATTTGAAATGAAAAATTCGAGGTTTCTTCTTCAGCTTGAGCAGTGTGACTGAAGGGGCTATAGGTGACGTTATGAAGCGAACAATATTTCGAACTGTGAACGAGAAGTTAAAATTTTTTTTGGATTATTGAAGTTTTTGAAGCTTTTGAATTTTCTTTTTTTTTCAACCACAAAACAGAAAATCCTCATCTTACGACCGTCAACATGGACTGGGTAATAATACACAGTGACCTAGTTTACTCATCGTCGGTCAGCAAAACTCTGATGATATTCCCAGTTTGACTAAGCCAGGTTCTATTTACCTCCATGTAGTCGTCTCTGGACTCGTTCTCGTTAAAGAACCTCGTCCTCTGCTGTTCGAACTCCCTCGCCGCCTGCATACAGGCGAACACAAATCCTCGATTTACTCGTATTCGAGTCAGTGGAAATCGTTCCAGTTCGAGAACGCTCTTCGAGATGTCCTGCAATATCTAGGGATTGTTCTATTTGGTGATAAGAATTACGTGCTTGAAGAAATCCTTGAGTTTTCAGAAAAAGTTGAGGCACCATTATCAAGTTTGGGAGTAGAAAGTTCTTTGTTTTTGCTTGGATACCAAATCCAGCAATGAAGTTTCGTTTTTCAACATGCATCATCTATGGCAACATCTTTCACGTAGACACCATCTCATCATATTCCTCACGTCATGTCTATAACAGCCACAAGACTTAAGGTAGAAGAGTACAGCTCTGACAGAATGTTCAAGGTCATTGCTGACAGATGACTGACAGAGAGAGAAAAGTTTCTTTAGTGTAAGTACAAAGTAATGCTATTTGAACGTCGTCCAGCACTCTTCAGATGTTGAAAAGAGATCAACTGACTTTTTAGTTTAAATATGACAGAGTATTGAAATTCTGACTGATGGTATGATTTTTGACCATGACTTAATAGGGTCGAAATCCCTTAACTATGGGCATTTAGCTTTCAAGCTCGGCCGCACAAGTGATATCCAATGTTTAGCAAAGCGCTTAGGCATTTCAAGCAAAAATAATGAGTTGGTAAGCTTGAACAAAACACCGTTTTCTACGTAAACTGTATTTTTGAAATTTGTGCTTCTGCTCAATCGATGTTTGTTCTCCCACCATTGCCTACTTGGAACTCTCACCGTTCAACAAGAAAACCAGAGGCTCAATTTTTTGAATTTGTATGTTGTAATTATGCCAGCTATTCGCTTGAGAATGCTTAGAGATATGCATCTGGTCATTTAATTGTTTAGCAGAAAGAAATTATGCTGCATGGGCTCGCCCAATTGGCATACGAATAATATTGAATTATCGCGAAAAGAGGTTCCTAGGCCCTTACTCTCGTCATTTTTTACTACTCTCTTTCACAGTTCCAAGCTCACACACAGCGAAAAAAATTAGCACTATCAAAATTCCATTATGAGATCAGCATCAAGAGCAACGAGTTTTTGGTCGCATCAATCGTGGGAAAAACACTAAACGTTAGTAAATTGCTCGAAAATAAGAGATCAAGGTTATTCTACTTCAAAAAAGAGCATTTGTACGCTAAGTACTTAGCGTTGATTTTCCAAACTACTATTCAATTTTTTTTTACAAACAAGCACTTTAGAAAACCTAGTCGACGGCCCTGCATGGGGTGCTGAACTTTGGAGAGAAGAGATACTCTACAACATATCGCTCTACTCAATAACAATGTTGATAACTTCTCATGATTTCGCAAGGACTGAATTTGGAGAGATTTTGGTGAATAAGATAGGCTGTCAAGCAGAATGAACGCATTTGGAACTTAACTTCAAATTATTCATTTTGAAACGTGCCGAACAGATACGGCCAAAGAATTTTTTTAGTAATCTAAAATACCTGCCTTGACACCGCATACGTCGTAGATGAAAACATTGCCAGCAGTATGCGAATCTACTCGTTCGTAGTACACCTGAGTAGCTGGAATGGCATCTCCATTGCGATACCTAGGTAGGAAAGCTTTCAAATGAGTTTCCAAGATTAGGTTAGAAATAAAGTAATTCAGGACCCACCGCGTCACTTGTCGCGTTTTCCGTACATAGTGATAGCAGACGCTCTTCCACCAAACAATCGGAAGAGCATTTCGCAGTGATTTCAGATACTGTAGAGCATCCTCCACTCGAATCTGCAAAATATCCTTCCCTTACCCTCTTCCAATAGCGAGAATTTACTTTGTTTTTTTCCTTGATTTTAGATAGCAAAAGAAGACCACCAGTACTCGTGACATACCAGGAAAACCATACAAACGTTCCTCAGCATTATAGATGCACTCAGATATCCTGTTATATGGTATCCAAATACCTCTTTCTGGGAGAGTATTTTATCTAACCTTTTCCGGTGCTATTTGAAACCATCAAGAATCGTTCAAAAAACACCACATCTCAAATGTCATCATGCTTTTGATATGAGATTCGCATGCATCAATGCATTGAATAAGGGCTGTAATCAGCGCTGGAATCAAAGGCAGTATAGATAGCAATTGAAAACTACAAGTACGTATTATAATCTTACATAAAAAGCTGCTAAATCCAGCCGATCCGAGCGCAAATTAACGGACTTAACTCCCATCTAACTATTTTTTATACCTTACAAGGGAGTTTGACTCGAAACGGCCTTTATTTTCAATTGAGAGGCCTTGGGACTTGATAAACAGTCTCCCTTATCTCCAAACGGTCCCTCTGGTGAAGCAGGCATTCGTTTGCGCGCGATGAGAGCTTTAGTCGAAGAAGCCTTTTGAGATGGGTTGGATACCATATTGGGTATAAAACGCTTATAAAACGCTGATTTAAATCTTGTCAATTTGTGGAACGATTATAGACGAGGAGTTTTGATTATTCTGGCAAAAAATTAAACGTGCAAGTAAGACAAAAATAATCGTTGCATTCTATGTAGCGCCTAGTGAAGGTAACTATTCAATAAATACTCTAAGATAAAAAATATACCGCACTTGGTAGCGTTTTTGAAGGCTAGTAAGTGTTTAGCATTTTCATCCTAAATGCACTTTTAGTTTCTCCGGTGAACGCTTATAGCTCCTCGTCCACGAATGTCCCTAGATAAACAAGAAAGATTTGGAATCAGCGTTTCATGCCCTTCTACGTCGTCTTCTACATGTGAAAAAAGCCGCTTCGACTAAACATGATTCCCTTGTGAGATGACACCAAGCTTGGTAGTTTGATGTGAGACCAGTTTCCAAACCTTTAGTGTTTGCCTTTTTTCCATAAAAGAATACATCTCAGGAACAGTGGAAGTAATTTTGGACCAACTTTGCATTTACTGATATATCAGCTTACCCAAAGAAAATTTGACCATGCATATGATGGCACAAAAATGCCTCTAGCTTTCTTCAGTGAGCCGTCTAGCAAATACGAAAGGATGGTTTGATTGTTGAAGTTCTTTTCAATAGATATGCACTTTGCTGTCAAGCAACTTCGGCTGACATACCTCTCTTGCAAGCAAGAAATAAAGATGGTACCTTTTTCATAGAGTTAAGTTTCGATCGACTATGCCAGCATTCCATCACATAGACAATGTACAACATCAGCCCGAACACGATTGGTACGAAGTTATAACCCTGGGCGCATGGCCCATGGTGGTATCTGGAAAAACAACATCAATGCACAATATTTTTGGGTACCCTCTTGCCATATGCTTAACAAGTCTTTGCTTTCAATCGAAGTTCCAAATCGAAACTTGTGCTTGCATATTTTGCCCACTTTTTCTTCAGTTTTAAGCTTATTATTCTACTTTGCTTCGTTTAGAGTTGCATTTGAGCATGGATACGTATCCAAAAGCAGAATTTCAATGCGCAACTTTCTCAAGCTCAAAAAGAGGATTGGCTGCTCTAGTCTATTGACTTTCTGAAAATAGCTTGACTCGCAAGCTTAGCAACTCATAATTTCGCGTGCTCGTTGCTCGATTCTCTTGCAGTTTTTTCCGCTCACTTGCCCTCAATGGCGACATCACTGCTTCGTTTTATCCTTTAACGAGCCTAAATAGCGTTGTTTTGCACAATCGCTAGCGAATCGTGCAAGGATGCGCCTTGCAAAAGCAAATGAGCTTCTTGGAAACATTACGATTGGCGGAGGAGCACATAAATGAATTAATGAAGCAAGTCCAAAGTGATCTGCATAAGTCCTGATGAGCTGCGATTCAGAATTACAGTAAGCATATCAATATCATCGCCAATGAGCGGTTCGTTCTTATTATTTTTGCAGACAAAATGTCTTCTGTTGAAAGTACGCAGTGCGAAGAACACAAATATTGTTGAACTTTGACTGACAAGGCTCCCAAATTTTGTTACTAAAGTGCATTCACTCTAAACGCTGTAACATTCTTCTTTGGCATAGATTGGGGCATTTCCTTCGGGTATTTGTGTTGCATTTATAGAATTACGATTTTGATTTGATTGAAGTTTATATACAGGGTGTCCCAAAAGTAAGTACACACTTTTCAATCGTGAAAATCTCTCGTCCCAATGGGTCTTTTTTTGTGATTTAAGCGCCATTTTGTAGAGGAGGCTTCAACTTAGATTTACAGTATTGAAAGAATCACCGATCGCTCTTCGTTACTGTAGGATTACGGTAAGAACTTCCAGCATGTGGAACCATGAAATATGCCATCTGACGAAATTTTTTTCAAAAAGTCTGAAAAATCGTCTATTGGAGTTTTCGCACACGCTGATTCCAGTACATAACTTTTTACGAGTGTTTTCAGCTTTTTTGACGGTGTAATCACATTTCTCACAAAATTGGGGATTCTGTTATTACGGTTTACCTGGGATAACTTGGGAAAGAAGCATCACAGTAAACTAGAAGTTTCATAATCGGAATCGGCGGCTTCGATTACCATAGTTATGAGAGTTTACGGCTTGTTTGGTTTTGTTTCGAGGCAGACATGGCCTCCAATGGCCTAAAAATCCTTGTCGAACTTTCCATCGTAATCCTACAGTAGCGATGAAAGATCGATGATTCGCTCGATACTATAAATCTAAGTTAAAGCCTCCTCTACAGAATGGTGCTTAAATGGCGGAAAAAAAGACAATGTGAAGAAAGATATTGACGATTGAAAAGTGTGTACTTACTTTTGGGACACCCTGTATTAGAGTGCTGTACTGCTGATCACGTTTGAGAGGCAAAAATTTTCCATGAGTGGGGAGTTAGAACATGAGACGCAGCTATTAACTTTACCGAACTTTATTTTTCCTTTACAGTAAAGCAGATTTTGTTGCCTATGGAAACTCCTGTCCTTAAGCGGCGTCTCCTGCCTATTCTAAGTGTTTCCTCTTCCATCCCACGCCCTTCTTAAGCCATTTTTTATGACTCAAAACTAATGTTCTTCGAAGCAGATCTCTCCCGTTATTCTTCTTTTTTCACCCTCTTCATCTCCATACTGGCGCTTTTGACAAGTAAGAAATCATCCTGCGCGAGATGAAGCGACGGCGACTAAGCCCCAGCCATCAATCGCGCGCTTGGACTATGCCTTGGAACCAATCAAGAAGAAAATGAACGTCGCTGGAGAGTAATGGGCATGGCTGCAGCACCTTGGCTGCGAATCCACGGCAATTGGCGAGCAGAATCAGTGGCTAATCGCATGCAGCATAATGGCACAAATCGCCGCTCTCGAAACGCGCTAATGTTGTTTTGCGCTGGGCGATAGTAGGGACCCTGGCGGGGGCCCCTACGACGAGGAATTGACCGACAAACAGCGAATCAGCTGCCCCTAGGGAGTGCAATGCCGGAGCCCTATCTCAGCTTTATACGAACAAGAAAGGGGAGAGCGAGGCATCCTCTCGAAAAAAGTGTCAATTTTGGATTGTGTCTGTCTGCAACGAGCCTCCTTTGGAAAAACCTTGGCAAATGATAGCCGCTTTCTCCCCTCGAAAATGGACGAAGCAGAGAATGGAATGGCAGACGAAATGTGCTATGCGGTCAAGAACTGCCAGAAACACATTGACACGAAACATAAAACCACAATTTACATCATCTGCTATTGTGTTACAAGCTCAAATATGCCCTGGGAACCGCCACTCCCCTTTCCCCCCACTGAATTCTCACCTTCGATGATGCAATACAATAAAAATATATGAAGCGAGAGTAGATTATCGTTTTGTGGAAGATTTGGCAAATGTGTAACTTTATCAGCATTTTCTTTTCAAATCTTCACTTGGAATCTGGCGAGACACTGAACTGAAATATTTGCGAAAGAACAAACTCGACAATTTTCAATCGACTTAGGCCTTTCGAATGCCGAAAAGCTATAGCTTTTTGAGAACAGATCACGTTAGTTGAAAGAAGCAATTTTCGAATGAGAATGGGAGACGATTGTGCTTAAATGAAAAAGGAAAGTCTATTTGAAGAAGATCAAAAATGTGATGCAAAGCAGTAAGTCGCTTATAAAGATGAACATATAGTGAGAAAAATCCTGATCATTTTTGCAAGAAAGCAGAACTCATAAATATTCCAGCAATTCCTATTCCATTTTCCACTTGAAACCTGGCGAGACTTTTGAAGTGGAATGCTTGCAAAAGAACAACCTCGGTATTTTCAGTCAAGTACAAGAAATATATGCTCTGTAGTGCAACTAAAAATTTCATCTCCTAGTTTTTCCGCAGCTATGTACCCCGCAGATGTCATATTTCAGCGTCATCGAAAAGCAAATGTCTATGTTCGACGTCATATAAGATAAACTATGCTGTCTCAATGGCTGACAGAATGCATGACATGTTATGAGCATTTTAGATGGACGAGATTAGATGATGAATAGGCCGAAAGGAACGAGAAAATCAAAATAACAGAATTTTTTTCCAAGTATATGTAAGGAGAAAGAAAAGAGGAATTTTGCTATGATGAGAAACAGATAAAATAATGGTTAGCTGAGTTTGAAACATTCAGTCAAAAATCAAAGTCATCATCTTTTGGTAAAGAGCTTCATTAATAAATCTTTTACTGCAAATCTTCCCCTTTTTTTTCGTTTGATAATGACCACCATGTGGTTCATGAATTCAAAAAATTATTGAATTATTTCTTACATCAGAAGTGGTTGAAGACCGGAGTAAGCCATGTGCTTGAAATGGCACCAAGCGGCGTAAAACCCGCAGCCGACCAGCAGCAGCGAGCAGGACAGGCATTTCCAGTAGCCGGACCTTCGCAACACTCGACATAGCCCTGGACGACGAGGTTTCTGAAACGAAAATTTGCAAGAAAAGATTGATATTTCTAGGATTCATGTAAAGTTGTTGATCCTGTTTGGCGGCTTGCAAAACAAAAAAGATATCTGCTCTAAGCAAGTCTTATAAACCCGTTTTCACTGCTTCCCATAAATTAACTGCAAATGCTAATTTTAGCGGGTTTTTTGTCCATTTTTGCGTCTTTGTGTACATCTCGTTATACCCCCAGTTAGCCAAAAAAATAATTTACCGTTTTGTTAGCTTGCATCTGCTCTAAATGGCTTGGTTGCGAATGCAAATAAGGTTGAAGAACTAACCGAGACGTGTTCGACATCGACTGTTCTTGCCATTCCGCTGGGACCATATCACATTGCCTAAAACGGAGATGCACTATTGCGAGAAAGTGGCAAGTGCAAATTATGTTAACCTAAACGGTTATGCAGGAAATTCGGCAAATACAGAAAATTGGAAAAGATGGTGAAGAGAAATTTCCAGAAGGTATAAAATGGAATGAGAGCGGTTAGGGCATTCTTTTCAATAAGATGTTAAGACTATTTCGGATTGAATATTTCAAGCTAATACAGCGAAGGATCAAAAAGTATGGGAGACAAATTATACTCAATAGAGAGCTCCATTTGTCGTAACGTCAACCATGTCGTAAATAACTGTCTACAACTATGTCAAGCATAGCAGTAGTAGTAATTCGGTAAGAAATGAAAGCGGAGACTGATGAAAGAATAAAAATGAATGAAGGATACTTACAAATTCAAAAAATAAAATCTTAATCTCATAACAGGTTGGCACGGAAGTTCTATAGCACACTTCTACAACTTCTACAGCTGCTTCTAAATGGATTGTCACGACCATGACGGCTGAAAAGGGTAACGCGTCTCTAAAGGCACTCAAGCCGCTTATTACAGTGCGCGCAATATGAGTAAAGCCTGTGGTTTGAAAACGTCTCTATAAATAATTACGATTTGATGTAAGCATTACAGAAAAAAGTCCAAATCCTAGCATTTTTCTTCAAAAATCACATCTTGTAAAAATGTTCAGTCAGCACAAATTATGGTTTCGAGAGCATGTTATAAGAACCGAGTACTCCGTCAAATACAAGGAAATCGAGATTTGAGAATTCTCCTACACCGTTCATCCCTGTACTATACGTCTAATAGAAAACCGCTCGGGTGTCGATACGGAGTGCATGATTTCCTTGAATGACTGAAGTTACGCAATCCATTGAGGAATTAAGAAGCTGCAAATTTTTATTAGTGGAGAGTTACCGACCGAAAAATGTTTCCCTGGAACATTCCTACTTCTTCCTGAAGCAACTTCAAATTTTTTCGTGTAGACCCGCTTCTTGAAAAGCAAAATATAAATTAATCAAATATTGTGAAAGCTTGCTATGTAGCAACAAGTCACGATAGTTCACAGTGCTTAAACTCCTTTATAGACTACGCACGAATTTTCCAATTTCAGGTAATCATCCGATCATTTGAACTGCACTGCAGTATCAATGTGGGTTTACGGTAGTCATTTCAGCATTGGTGCTTATCTAGTACCTTTAGTAAAGAATGTGATTACTCTGCTGCACGAATTTAACATGAATGAAGGGACGATACGAATTAGGGTATACTCGAAAATTTATGATTATAACGGTGAGTACAAAGTTGCTCGGGATCGTTTATCTCTTAGCTTGGATAGTGCTTTTGCCTCAGTAGTTCAGATAATTTCTGCGATGTGGGTTAAAAATATCGGAGTCCATAAATGATAAACTAACGTACAAAATTTGTAGAACAATTTTGCATGATTTTGAATTATCAGGCAGAATCACGTCAAACTGGCCAAGTAAAATTTTTTTACATTCTTTTAAACTTAGAAAAGTCATTCACAAAAAATCAAGGTAGTTCTTCGTTTTTTCAGCTTTACGTAAGTATAAGCACTATGAGTCATAAGAGACCCATTTGTGCCATCTTGTCTAGCCAAAAGGCAAGATTCGTTGTTTCTTTTCCAGATTATTGTAGGTCTCCTAGCATTATGGACAGAGGAACAACAATTATTCCACAATTTTTGGGAACTACTAGAAGCTATAGTCGACTATACGAGCCTGGATAGCGTTGAAGAGCAGAGTAGAGAGGGTAAAAAACGTTACTGCGAGGAGAAAAAATTGCAAACGCAGGGGCGACATTAGCAAATCCGCCGTCGTCGTTTTTGCGAGCCGATTTGTCGCCCGAAGCAAGCATGACAATGCATGCGAAATTGGCCATAGAGGAGGAAGAGAAATGGAAGGAGCCGAGTGGGGATGGAGTACTAAAAGCCCACATGGAGCAATGGAGCGAACAGGGGCGGGCCGCCGTTGAAGTGAGCACGTCGCAGTTCTTCAAAGTCGATACAACGTCGTTGCGGCGTCGTCCGACGTCGTCTTCGTCCACTCCAGCAGTTCCGCTCGAGATCGCCTTGATTACGTTTTCTGCCAGGAAACACTCGAAAGAGGTGCAAGACCTCGGCTGTGAAAAATTGTGGATCATAAAGGGTTGTAGATTAAGGGAAAGGCAAAACTATCTGCATACTTGAAATCCAGTTCAACTGATCAGAGTTTTGAAGTGAAGCGAAAAACCATGAGTCTTACCAAAATTTCCGTAAGCGATAAATTTCCAACCAACCTTCAGAAGTTTGACCAATTCTTTCCTTGTGATAAACTCTTGGTGATGGTCCGAGATTCCCGGGTGGCGTAGGGAAAGCTAGAAGTTTTTCTCTATCAAGAATTATAGCGTTAGCTAATGTTTTCAAACTTTCAGATGGTTTTCTGAGGTCTTAGCTAGGTCATAAACCATAACTATAAATTGTTTCAGCTCTAGAAAAGCCGCTTCGTAAAATTTTCTTACATGGCTCCTTTCATTCTCCATAATGTAGAAATTATCAATGTATACTGGAAATTAAAATTAATTTACTGTGTAAATCGAATTTTCCAATTTCACTCACACACATTTTCAAATATTTGCCCATTTTTGAAGACTATCCTTAAATGCACGTGTCCATGGCGCCTTCCTTCCCTTCCCATTTAGCCTAATTGTTGATTCAAAGTTGTTTACATCATCTATAGAATTATGTACGTTTTTGTTGTAGTTAAGTTGGGAATAATTTTATAAATTAAAAAAACTTTGCAAAAACTTTTCGGAAAAATGTTTAACCAATTATCCCTTCTCTTTGCAATCACCAAAAATTCAAGAATGCAGAGCGCTTGCTAACTCAAAATATATGCTTTTCCAGAAGTTGTGACGAAATCTGTTACAGTACCACGAGAAGTATATAGATAACTGCAAAATCGCACCTGCTTGCTGTTCCACCTGGTGTTATGCATACGACTAGTCATAAAGAAACCATTTATTGAATGAGTGACTATTTTTATAACTTCTACGCAAGCCAGATTGTTTCTCTTGCGTACTGCAATCAGATAACTTAAGCCGTTAGTTTAAAAACGTCTTGTATTCTTCATTGAGGAAAACGCGACTGTAACGGCATGAAAAGAAAAGGAAAAGAAACTTTGGTACAAAAGGAAGCTCTTTTTGCTTAGGATACACGGCAGGTAATTCTGATGATGTTACTTAACTGAACGGGATGAGATGAAAATTACACACACACACATCAAAAGTAGTTGGAGGTACGAATTAACAACGCAGCTAGTCAATGGTTATTTTTTTATCGTTACCTTCAAGCAAACGGAGTCAAAAAGTCCACACCAGTGGCGTACCCAGGATTTCCGCTCGGGGGGGGGGGGGCGACAAAAATTTTTTTCGAATGAAGGTGCGTGGCGTTAGCCACGTACTCCGAAGAATTTTAGGGGTGCTTTTCAGAATTTTTGCGGGTCTCTAACCCCTAAAATCCGGAAAAGGGGGCGTGGCGTCAGCCACGCCCCTGAAAAAATTTTTTTACAAAGCTAATTTGAATTTTTAAAAATTGTTTTAATTATTTACAAAAATAAACAATTCACTTGCACATTTTTATAACCCATATAAGTAACTTTCAAAAATTTCGCGACCCATTCTTGGGGGGGGGGCGCCCCCCCCCCCCGCCCCCCCTCCCCTCGGTACGCCACTGGTCCACACCTATAAAGAGTACAATCAACGCCCTCAAATTCTTCAATAACAAACTATCAGCACCAGAATGTGACATAATAGCTGGGTGAAATCTGAAAATGCAATGATCTAAATATTCAATCGAAACCTGCGCAGAATGTGACATAATAGCTGGGTGAAATCTGAAAATGCAATGATCTAACTATTCAATCAAAACGTGCGCAAATGTTTCTGTCTCTGAGAATGCAATTTTTGTCAATTTTTTGAGCAATCAGCATCGAGATTTCTTGGCTGATGCACTATGGGGATTAGGTGCCTCACAAAGGATGAATGCTTGGGCGAAGTGGCCTTTTGAGATGACTTGTGTACCATATTGGAGGGCATAAAACGCTGATTCCAAATCTGTCTTCGTTATTCGTGGCGCCTTCCTGCGCGAGAAGTTATGAGCTATTAGAGGAAAAGTGAATGTGCAAATAATATGAAAACAGAGGTAACATTTTTCCTAACGCTTGAATGGACCAGTGGTATCTGTTCAGCACTCTATAAAATAAATACTCCTAGATGAGATACATCCGCAATCCTGCTGTCTCATTCAAACGCTGAAAAAATTTTTGCAACTTTTTTATCCCAGAAAAACATTCATTTTTTTGCTCATTTAAACGCTCATAACTCCTCGTCCAGGAAAGCTCCGCGATAAGGAGGACAGAATTGGAATCAGCGTTTCATGCCCTTCAATATAGTATACTTTAGAAAGGCCACTTCGACTGACCATCCTTCGCTTGTCAGCGATAACAACAACGACCTCACCCTTAACCTGAGTCCCTCAGCTGATCTGGGATGACGCTCACCACGAGCCCTGATCAGCCCAAAAATATGGAATTGTGATTGTGTATGGATGTAGTGCAGAAGAAGAACCTTCGAAAAATATGGAACCTGCACTACATCCATACACAATCGTAGCAGTCATCTTCTCAAAGTGATAAAAATACAACAATTGGGTGCCGATCCATCAGTCCTTCCCGATAATTTATTCGACACTAAGAAAACTCGAAGTTCTGCAAGAAATGCTGAGTCTTGGGTAACTTCCTTCAGAGGCATGGAATGCATAAACTAAATGACCGACTTTTATAAAAAATAAATGGGACATGTTTTTTTTTTGACGCAATGGCTCCATCAACTCATATAATAGATCTTTATGGCCTAACCATAGTTTTCTTTGCCCCTGGGCGAAAGTCGAGCACTTGTAGACATCAAACGGTGTTCCCGGAGCTTAGTCC